AACATGTTTAATAAAGCTAAAATCAATTTGAATCAACTTTTCCTAAAATTTTCCCATTTTGCATTAAAAACATAATTTAACTTTAACTTTTCATTTCAAAAAAATTTTCTTTTTGACTGAAACATTCCAGTGTTAAAAAATTTAATTAGATTATTTCGCTTTGATGTTTGCAGCACCGCAAATCTACAAGTCATTTTAAAAGTTTTCAAAGCCACTTTATCCGCTGACTGTGCAGTTTTATAAATCAGTGAGTTTTGTCTTCACTTTCTGGTTTTTCTAAGCTGACGATTCTTTCAGAATTCATCTCTTGAAAGAACTTGAGTCCCATGCAGTAGCAGACCATGTACACTTCAAATGAAAGATTTTATAAGCAATTTTTTAGTATTAATTATTTTATCCATCGAAGTGCGTCTTCTATCCATCGTTTACATCTAACAATTCCATAATAGAGCATATATTTGCATGATTAATTGAATATGATACTAAATTAAATTACTTAATTCAATTTATGCATCTTCTCGTTTATATGCGACAAATTGATCGGTCATCATACTTTTCAGGAAACCTTTGCTATTAAAGTCTCTTTGTAGACATTATTTCAACTATAAACTCGATCAGTCGCTATTACTACTATTTTGATGTCATTAAACAGAACATCCGAAAACAGTGGTAACTGAAGAAGGAAGACGAAGAAACATAGATTCTCTTTGAACATTTCATCTCGGTGAGATATGGTTTCGTCAAAAAATTATTAATGCATAATCTTCTTATGCCACGAACATACCTCGCAAAAATATGCCAAAAAAAGACGTAACTGAACACAGGTTGTATAATAAGTATTCATTTTCTGCTACAAGAAGCTCTAATAACATTTGATAATTACCAACGAAGAAAATTTTCTATGTTTGGATAGTTTAACATACTTTGTTTTCAAAACTAGTTCAAAAGAAAACATGAATTTGGCAAGTGACAGATCTGAAGTTTTAATTGAACGTTAAAAAAAGTGTGATTTTGGTGCCTTGATGAAGATTCCACGAATCTGAAAATCTGTTGCCGACCGTTTTAAAAAACATTGCTGCAAAACAGAAAAAATACTGTGTACTAGTTTTGACAAAAAATAAAAAAAACCTAAATAAGTGTTGGTTGGTTAACTAAACATTCGAATCATTAATTTTGATAAGTGTTGTAAGATGATGCGATATTCGCGCAAGTGTTTTGTTTGGGTATAAGTTTATTAACAAACATGTTGTGCATTTTGCTAAACATATTAAACGCATTATTTAATAGTGAAGAACTCGTTGAGATCGCATAGAAAAGATATTCACCTGTACGCATATTAACTGAATGGAGTAGGCAAAATTATCCTATCGACAATTTTCATAAAAAAAAACCTCATATTTAAAGACAGATTGATATGTTCATATTAGTTGTGTTCTTCCTTAACTTTCGTCACCTTGTAGATTGAAATGGTTTCTATGGACGATAACGTTAAATTGG